GCTGCGCTGCGGCCCTGCCCGGGACCAGCAGAGTGCCACCGGGCTCCTGCCTGCGGCACGACGGCGGGAATAAACCACAGGCACTCGATTTCTCAGACGGTCCCGGGGCAGAGCGGCACGTTTCTGCTCACGCTGCAGCCGGGCTGGGATCAGAGATCAGAGGCGCCGGCAGAAAGAGCTGGTGGGTGGGATGGGGAGGATCTCTGAGGCTGAGCCATGAACCTTCAGAGCAAACCCCTCCGGAGAGGGGTGAGGAGGGACACCCGGCTGCCGAAGCCCAGCCCGCTTCCCCTGAGGGGAGCACGTGCTGCCAGGAGGTTGCAAATGCAATTTAATTCCAGGCTGGTGCCAGCCCTCTGCTCTGCCTTTTCCGTCCCTTCCCCTCCCAAGTATGTTTACGCAGCAAGTTTCATACCTTCGAGGGGATTTTGCCACCTTATTTCCAGCCTCCTGCTGGTTTCGGCCTGACGGAGGGGCCTCAGGATAGAAACATGCTCCCAGGAAAGGGAGACCCAGGCAGCCCTCTCCCTCACCCAGCCCCAATCCCCACTTTACTCATGCAGCACACAACACACCACTAGACTGCTCAAATCCTGGAAGAGAGGAAGGGCACAAAATACATTCCACTGCCTGAAACCACTGTGGCAAAACCAGCGTGAGCATGACACAGCCACCCCCCTCCCCACCCCAGGAACAGCCACTGCAGCCAGCAGCCTTCCTCACTCTGCTGGCAGCCTTCCACAGAGGTGACAGGGTGCAGTCCTTTGCTGAACAGCCCGGTACTGCTGGGCCAATGTTTGCCAGAGTCCACGGGAAGTCTGCGAGCAAGGATGCGCAGGGCTGCTTCTCCCCTCCGGCCCCATCAGCCCTCCCCGCAGCTCTCGAAGTACTGGCACATCAGCTCACGCACTTGCTCGGCCTGGCTGTCCTCCATGGCAGCAGGCGCGGGCTGGCAGGGCTTAGGCAGCTCAGTCGGCTCGGTGCCCTCCAGCCACTCTTCATTGAAGGGGTTGTCATGGGCTTCACAGACATTGTGCAGGATGCAGCAAGCAAGGACGAGGGTGGGCAGCAGCTCCAGGCTGCAGTCATCGCACTTGAGGAGGATCTGCCAGCGTGCCTTCAGGCGCAGGAAGGCATTCTCGATCACGCTGTGCGCCCGCTTCAGGCGGTAGTTGAACTGCAGCTGCCGCTGGGTGAGGTTCTCGTCCTCCTGGTAGGGCTTGAGGATCCAGTCTTGCAAGGGGTAGGTGGCATCACCCAGCAGCACGTACTTCTGTGCCTTCCCCATGAAGTGCTTAGGAGGGTTGGGGCACAGCCGGCCCTCCTTGGCCAGCACCCACAGGCTGGAGCTCTCCAGAACCGCGCTGTTCTCCATGCTGCCGGGGAAGGCAGTGGAGACATCCCAGAACTGGCCCAGCCCATCCACGGTGGCCTGTGTCAGGATGGAGTGCCAGCCCTGGCCGTTGCAGTAGTCAGCGCTGAGGCGCAGGGGCGGGTGGATGGGGATGTGAAGGCTGTCCAGGGCACCGATGCAATGCGGGAAGCCCCAGCGGGTGCGGAAGATGCGCACCATGTTCTCCAGCTCCTTCTCGTTGGGCAGCCGGAGGTAGACAGGCTTCAGCAGCAAGACAACAGCATAGCTCACCTCCCGGACACACGTCTGCACCGTGGAGGGCCCAACGCCGAAGAGCGGGCTGAGAGTCTGGTACTCCACGTTGGTGGCCAAGTGCCACAGGGCCACAGCCACCCTCTTCTCCAGGGGCAGGGTGGGGTGGAAGTGGGCACTGTGCGGAGCCAGCCCAGGCCGCAGCTGGTTGCAGATGTAGAAGAAGGTTTCCCTGGACATCCGAAACTTCTCCAGCCAGTCCTGGGGCCCAAACTCCTTGAGGACCACCCGCTCCCACCAGTCCGCGCTCCTGACACTGGGCCAGGCACGGGGGTAGAAGTAGCAGCTGGTTCTCCTCCGACGAGCGATCAGGAGCTGCAGCACGATGGGGAGACAAGAGGAGCGTGAGACAGTGGTTCCCCTGGGACCCCCCCCTCTGAAGACCACCCTGCTCAAGTGACCTGCTCAAGGCAGGGAGGACACCCGGTGCCACGTGCCCAGTGGTCTCGACCAGCACTACCACTGGATCAAATTTCCTGTTCCTGGGAAACCCCACTGCAAAACACCCTGCAGGCAATAGTTGTGAAGATGTTCAGGTGCTGCAGATGAGGAGCCTTCTAGAAAAGTCCCCTTTTGGGGTGGCCACTTATTCTGTGGGTTTATTTTTTAACCAGTATTCATTGCTTTCCTGCAACCAAGTGAACTGCAGACTTGGTCATGATTTGGAAGGTGCAGTGACCACCCACACTCCTGGCCCCTCTACGAGAATTCTGTTACTAAATTCTTAAAAACATCTTTAAACGAAAAAGAAGCTTTTTTTCACCTTCCTTGGCAACTGCCCAGGGAAGTGGGTTTCCCACGTTCCCCCCCCAACTGCTTGTCCTTGCTGCCACGTGTACCCAAGCCCTTGATATCCCCCATCCTTTTTGTCCCCCACCTTTCATGTCACCCCCTCCTTCATGTCCTCAGCATCCCCAGTCCTTTGTGACTGGGTTCAAATCTTGTGTCCTTCAAGTCCCCTGTCCTTCAGGCCCCCCCATCCTTTGTGTCCTTGTCTTCGTGTCCCCCCTATCCCCCATGTTCCCTTTGTGACCTCTGCGTCCACCACGTGTCTTTTGTGTGCCCCATGTCCAGCGCCCTTTGTGTCCCTGCGACCTGTGTCCTCCTCGTGACCTCTGTGTCCCCCCATCCTTCCTGTCTCTGTACTTTGTGTCCTGCACATCCCCCCCGTTCCCCGTTTTTTGTGTCCCCAGGGCCTGCGTCCCCGCCGTGTCCTTTCCATCCCACATCCTTCACGTCCGTGTGTCCGATGTCCCACAGGCCGCCTGTGTCCCCCATCCTTTGTGTCCCCGTGACACGCGTGTCCTCCCGTGTCCCTCCTGACCTCCATCCCCCCCGTCCCCACGTGGCCTGTCCCCACGTCCCCTCGTCCTCCCAGTCCGCCACCGATCGC